ACAACCTGCCGCGTGCATCCATAACTCAATGGTTGCACGCCGCACGTTCACCATTTCTTAATTCATATGATAAAAACTATTAGTGAGAACTTTCGAAAATGCCTCGCGACCAAAATAAAAACAAAAACAAAACGTATAAGAAATAAGCAAACCCAATTTGCGTTTGAAACAGATCCTTAAAAACAACGCGTTAAGATTTCGGTTCTCTAAGTCTGAAGCCTTGTGATAAATAAGATCAAGAGAAGAAAGCGCATTGGCAATTAATAACCACAACAACAATAAAGTAAATAAACAAAAAATCTAGGCATGAAACATATATAACATAATATTTAGCTCGCGTGCATGCTAAAATCTACTCCATTGATTTTGGTGTTGCCTGATTAAACAACTGCTGAAAATATTACTTCCTAGCCGTTACCTAAGCAAAACATCATTCTTAGTTATTGTACTGCATCTTGTGCGCCTTCTTTCCGCTGGATTTTCAAACTCACGAGGTCGAAAGCTTAACGTGCTGTTTTTAAATATATGTATATTTTTTAGCCAAGGAACGCGTTTTAGTAGAGAGAAATTATGTCAAGAAGGGTCCCTAGATGGTGCAGGAAAGAAAAATAACTCATAAAGGTATCATTCTCTTGGTTATATCCTTCAGGTCGCACAATAAAGTTGAATTTGAATTATTCGAATGACGCCTATTTCGAAATCGTTTGTTAATGTCGTTAATATGCATACAATTAAAGTAGCACATAAATTAAAGCTGTTATATGAGTCCGGTGTCTGAAGCCTTCCTCCTCTACTTTCTGAATCTATTCTTTTTATTTGGTTGTTAAAGAATCCTATTTTGAGTCACAGAATATCATGAAGAGTTTTTGTCTTTAGTTGCCGTACTACTAGTCATGACTAGTTATTTAATAGCCTTGACTTCGCGAAGTCAAACCTGAGAAATGAAGCAGCTGGTTGACGTATTGCATTTAAACTGTGCGAATAAGGTAGTAGTTTCGGCCAGACACAACACATGTTTTAGCATTTGTCACTCGCCACAAGGCAGCGTTTATTACTGATCTGAAACTCGTATTTGATCTTATATCAGTGCTCACGCCTGATTAAATCTCTAACTGTAGCTTTAAGGTACCTGAAATTTGACCTGAGAAGACTAAGGTTGCCATAGAAACGCAGCCAACCATTCACTGAAATACTAATTGCACTGAATTAATCAACGGCTTATTCCCCTCGGGGTAAACAGCATGTGAAATGATAATTACAGTGTGAAAGGTTATACTCAGGCTTTGCTAGTTTAATTTTGCCATAACTCAGTGCCCTAAAAGCAAAACATCTGCTTTGTACAGTGTAAATCCAAAGGTGCCTTTAGTTTTTGACAGTGAGTATTGAATTTTTAGAGTTTTACGTTACTGTGCCCAGGTAAACAGGACAAACGCATTGCAAAGCTTACGTTGATCTATGCTCTCAATGCAGAGTCTTTGTGAGGTTCGTTAGTATTGTTTTTTTTTTTTTTTAGCTTAATTTCGCTTCTGTGCCCAAGGTAAACATACACGTCTAGCCGAATTTTTAAATACATACCTCAAAACGGGCGAGTACGAGGATGACACGTCCGTCATCGCTACTCCTGACGCTGTTGTTTTTGTTTTTTTGTTTTTTGTGTTGTTGCTACCTTTGCGACCTATCAAACGTTCTAGAGGGGTTCTGGTTCAAAGCTAAATTTGGGTAAGTGTAAGGGTCTGTGGTTGGGTGACTGGAGTGGTCGTGATGATCCTCCCTTAGGTTTACAGTGGTCGTCTGCGTGGGTCAAAGTGTTAGGGGTTTTTATTAGCCCCTCTGGTTTGGAAGAGGAGACCTGGCGGCCGCGGAGGTTGTCTTTTCGGGGTTGGGCTATTGTTATTAACACTTTAGCTCTCTCTCGTATTTGGTATGTGGCGTCGCTGATCCCGATGCCTGATTGGGTGCTGGCATCTCTCAACAGGTTGATCTTCTTTTTCTTCTGGGGTGGTAAAGTTGATCTCGTCGCCAGGAATGTTGTTATCCAGCCCCCGGACTTTAGCGGTTCCTCCTTAGTGTCCGTCCAGCTGAAAGTGTGGGCCCTTCACGTTCAATGGGTTGATCGTTTTGTAGGCGCTTCTCAGCTTGGACGCAGTTCCCTTTCTATTATTCGCGTGTTTTGTGTGGCTCTACGCCAGGTGATCTCTTGTCCTACCCGCGAAGTGTTGACTTTAGTTCCTTGCCTCCCTTTTATCAGGCGGACTTGTCTGCCTGGGTGGCCGTTGATGGGGGCTTTGTTTGCTCTTGCTGATTCGTTGGTCGTGGCTTCCTCTTCCGTTCGTCCTCCTGTCTCGTCAGTCTCAACTAAGTCGACTTACTCTCTTCTTTTGGAGTTCCACCGTCGTGAGCCAGCTTGTGTTAGAAGCTTTGGTCGTGTGTTCGGTCCTCTCTATTGGCCCTCCACTTCGTCTCAGCTGTTTTGGTTTAGTCTTGACCGCCCAGTGATTGATATCTCGTGGCAAATTGCCCATGGGGTCCCCCGGAAGGGACATCGCCTAGTCTCGACTTTCGGGATGTCTCATATCCCCATTGCCTGTTTTTGTAATCCCTCGTCGGTCGAGACTCTTGATCATTTGTTTTTCTCGTGCCCTCTTGCTCAGGCTGTGCTATCCTGGCTCCAGTCTCTCATCTTCCGCTGTTCTGCCCTTATTCCGCCTTTGTTGTGTCGGCATGTGCTGTTTGGTTTTAACAGTGACGAACTGTGCGTTGTCCCTTGTGGGTTTGTTGGTGTGCTGGGGCTTATTAGTGAGCGAATGGACCACAATTCAGGAAAGATCCGTGGAGCCAGTAACATAGCTGAGCTGCAAAAGGTCACCCTCCCAGGAACAGCGCACATACTGAGAAAGGCTTCTGTCCATTAAAATAAAAAAGGTCCCCTGGTACCTCATCAGGACCAAGGATTGGCCCCGGTTCTAGGAGCGTGTATGAGGCAATGAATAGCACTGAAAACGATAATAATAATAATAATAATAATAATAATAATAACTGCACGAATCCTCAGAAAGGTGCTCAGTGTATGAACAGAATGATTGACTTGAGTGGCTGACGCTCTAGGTGCATGGTTTGCGCCCGGCTGATGCACAAAAACAACAACAGCAAAGACTGTGATAATAGAGACAATAATAATAATAATAACAATAGTAACAATAATAATAATAATAATTATTATTATTATTATTATTATTATTATTATTATTATCAATGGCACTACTAATCAATGCTATTTCCATTGCCTTTTTAATACATATAAATGAGCGAGAAATCTCTCAGTGCTTAAGCCATTCTAAAATTGTCATTGCTGTTGAAGGTTAATGAAACGAACCTTTTGCACTTACAAGTCACCGTGAACATAGCTGTGGACTCCGCTATCTTGAGTGGAGGCAATCACTATGGATAGCACCACAATCAAAAGAGCTAAGCCTGCAACAAAAAAAAAAAATACTGTGAATTCCAGTGAATTCCGTCATACTTATGTCTCTCGGTTATTTTTCTTTTATTTATTTCTACCAGGATTTACGAAAACCGGGTAAGCCATCTTCCCTGTCTTAGCTTGTTTACTGTGTTGTTTGCTTATGTCGCATCGTTTATTAGTTGTTTTGTGGTTAGGGATTTGTGTAGTATTTTGCGCCGATTTTGCGTTCTTCCTAACCCCCCTCTCCCTCCCTCCCTCCCTAGCTAGAGGGTGTTTTTCCGTCCCTATCCGGAACCTTCTGTCCTGAACAAAAGTGGCAGTTATTTGAAATCAGAAACCTAAAGCTGGTTTCGGCGCCGTTCCGCAGTTTAAACGTCGTTATTGGTCACCTTGAGAAAATTTTCCCGGGGAGCACCATGTAAAGCTCTGAGGTGGGACAATACGATTTACAGTTTTCATTTAATATCGTATTGTACCTATTCTAGTTTCATTTGGCTAAGCGGATCAATCACCCTTATCCGGGCTGAGACAGAAAGGCTTGACTAAAAGTCAAATCTATTAGGTAGGATCTATCTCTGACTATTAAAAAGTCAAACTTTGTAAATTTTCGTCCATACCAAAAACTCAACTATGGCATGATCCCCGGATTAATTTTTTTGACATGAAAATTAAATATTTTGGACTGTTAATTGACGAAGATCTATCATATTCACTCTGTTGCAAATAAAATAAGTAAAACAATTGAACTAGTTGCGAGGTTGAGACATATTGTTCCCACATGTACCCTTCTAAATATTTATCAGACACTAATCGCATCGTATCTTATCTATCTTATGATCTTATCTCTTGGGGTAACGAGTGTCAATCCTTGCTTGACCAAATTCTTGTCCTTCAAGAACGAGCACTGCGTTTAATATATTTTGCTGAAACAAACGACAACGCGATGCCTTTTTTGTTAGCGCAAAAAATCTATCTTTACACTAGCTCAGTATATTGTGAATCCGCTCAATTGTAATGTTATGTATGATGTGAAAAAAACACTGCTCCTGAAAATATTTGGAAACTTTTCTCTAGAATTGCTAGTGTTCATACTTACCATGCACCTGCCTCAGTCTCTGAACATTTATAATTTATATAACGTACAATTTTTTTTGTATTTATTCAGTTTATTGTACCGCAGTTAATGTAGCCTGGCCTGCCTCGAATAGCCTCGCTGACTGCAGGCCAGTCTCAATATATTTTGTAATTTATTTACGAGTTTAAATGAAACTTGGAAGTTGGAAGTTGTGAAAGCTGAATCGAAGTTTACTTTGATCTTAGGTTAAGTACTTTTAAATCTGCCCAGGTATATAAATAGGGTAACATACCATGATGGTGAGGTACCAATTTACAGGTCTATATACTGATGTCAGAAATACGGCTGAAGAAATTATTACTTCCCATCGCTAGGATAACATACTGGCAAAGGGCTAGCTGTGAATTTTGTACACTTTTGCCAATTGCATTCTAGGAATTTTTTTTTTCTGCAAAGTACATGCTAGATATCGATCAGAGTTATGTCTACCAGAGATAAAATCAAGCACCCACCCCATGATATTATGTAGAAAAGGCGCATCCTGACGACTGTATTAAAAACCTTGACCACCATCATATACAGGTAAACACCTTCAAACAACATCCAAGCAAACGCCACCGTATAGAAATAATGAATTATGGCTGCTACAAACACACACACGGCCTGAGGAAGATGGAAAATCAGGTAATTAATATCGACTTGAATTGTGGGAATAGTCCAGTTTCTAATTTGCAATTGCCGCTTTAACAGCTGAAATTGAAGCAATTTTAATGAAGTAATTTATACAGGTTTAGCCTTGACCTAAAGAAAAATATTCACAAGTATTGGCTAGAAGGTGCCTGAATTTGAGTTTAAAATAATAGACACAGTTGTACACAGGTCTTGTTAATATATTTACCTTAGGTCGAGGCTAACCCTGTATAAATGAGTCTTCAGTGCTTCCCATTGGCCGCGACTAATTCGAAACTGGACTATTCAAAATCAGTGAAAGTTTGCGTGTCCAAGAAACTAGACGTAAGGAACGATGAGTAAATGATAACCTGCTTTTATTTGACCCACCTTCGGTTTTGCTGCATTAATCCCAGCAAGGAAGGTTATTTGCGCGATTGCTATGGCAACCACGAGGTTAAGACGTATTTGAATTTGTTCTTGTTTTAAATTCCTGTGAGAGAAAAATAGAAAAGCTTAAACAAATAAGCGCTGAACAATACCACATAACGCATAAAATCCAACTAGTGGTCTATTATCAATCCGCTGTGTTCTGATTGGTTGAGCTACTTCTAGGCTATATGTTATAGCCCACTAGAAGCGAAAAGCGCCGGCTTTGAAAACCTAAACAATGGCGGCTGAATCGCGTTTTGCTAGTTAAAGCTGTTTTGTCTCGATATTTTTTACCAACTAGTTGAATTTTATTAAAACAATTATTCCTCTCGCTCTCGTGGCCTCTGAGTCAATAGGCCATTCGGCCTTCGACCTCATGGACTATTGACTCAGAGCCTATTCGGGCTCGAGGGATAACTGTTAAATAACACTTGGATGAAGAAGAAGGGGGAGGAACCTAAACAGTGCAAACAAAGGCAACCTGGCAAGCCTTGATTTTAAACATGACCATACTTCTTTTTTTTCATGCTAAGCTGTTCCCGATGCAACTTACATGAGAAGGCAATATGCAACAACGGTGAGCGCTTCTGCAACAAGTGACAGGGCACACCCAACGTAAGTTATAACTTCCAAAGGTACTTTATGGTCTCTTGAAATTTGCTAGGAAAGAAAAAAAAAATGATTGTTTTTATTTTCTTACTTAATAAATATTTTTGCTTTAATATCGTTCGTATTCAGCCGGAATAAGAATACTCGAAATTTTTGATTTTTGGATCAATTGAATGCTACAGTCATCGAAATATTTTATTTTAAGCAGCTTTCTAGATGTTGTCATTTGTTTCTATTTCGAAATACAATCATTCGAACACACCCCAAGAGTAAAAAGAGGTAAAATCTTGTTGGGCTGTTAATAAGCAAAACTGGCTCATAAATTCTGATAAAATTTTTGGGAATTAAAAAATAAAAACATTGTTCAATTGAGGCCTTAAAGTGCTGTTTTACACAATAAAATTGGCATCCAAGCTTTCGCCGATCAACCGGCATCATCAGGGAATCATCCCTGATGATGCCATTGATCGGGGAAAGCTTGGGTGCCAATTTCATTTTTTAAAACAGTAGTTTTGGGCCTCAATTGAACAATACTTTTACTTTTTTCTAATCATGCTGCTGAAGAACAACATCAACAGATTATTGGTGGGAATTATTTTCAAGTTATACATATATTAACATAATCTGTTATTAGAAAATCTGCGTAACTTATTAACATATTAGTTCTCATTTTAAAGTATCCATCAATTGCAACTATGTTTCAGCACTTCTTCTCAAAATAACACGAGTTAAATAAAAATCATCAGCCATCACCGTCCTATTGGTCGTCGTGTTCGTGATCATCCGCGGCAGCGAAAACAAGCTGAAACAGCGGCATAAGAAGCACTCCCACCATCTAAAGCTTTCCGAATTTATTTTGTCTACAAACCATCCTTTCTAATATTTAAAATAACTGTCATAGGTCAAACTAGCGGGATACCTTCTTACTGGCTTTATTTCCTCCTACTTGCATGAGAACAGCAAAGTTTGTGAGATGATTGCAAGTGCAAGTGACTTGCCTATTGGATTTCTTGACCAACCTGCATCCTACAGAGGACCAAGAACCGTTGTTCTTCGATCTGAGATGAAAACAAAAGCAAAACGTTCAGTTTTTATAAACGTTATCGTCAAAACAGGGAAAGGAAGATGCTTTGTGAACTGTGATAACAATGGGCAAAAAATAGGAACTTGTTACACTAAAAAAGTAAGATTCAAAGCTGAAGGATAAGAGAAAATATCTAAAAAAAACGGCGTTTTGGCATCATAATCCAAAGGTATCACAACTGTTTAATACATGGTTCATAAATCTAATTAAGGCCGCGTTTTTTAAACTGCTTGTCCAAAGTACTAGTGCAATGTACAAAACAAGTGAGCTGCTCGTGCAAAGGTGTTGTTGTTTTTGCTAATTAGACCTTTTTTGTTATCGTTGCCTTGGCCGTTTAGCATTACACGATTTTACTTTGGTTTGAGTGAACTATAAGTATTTATAGTAATGAATGAGAGCTTCGCTTTTAACCCTGGCTAAATCTATATATTACTTACTTAAGGGTGAAGTTCCAAAATACACAGTAAGGATTGTGTTCATCTTGCAGTTTCTGAGGGGAATAAAGAGAGTGAAATTAATAATAATAAAAACAAATCGTATCAGTTCATAGTATTATACTATTTGAAACCAAGATGGTCACCCGTAATGATAAGCGCTCGTCCAACTTGGTACTCATTAATTTGAAACCGTAAGCTCTCGATGTCGACGATTTAAAGGAAAAATATAAGGCTGTAAACTTTATCTGTTTGTGGCAATTTTCTTTCCAAATATTAACTTTCACCAATTTTCATATAAATCTGCTTCCCAATTTTAATCATTTTCTAACCTTCTTTGTTTACAAGAACGTATTCACCTATTGTAACCATTCATGTACCTTTTCGTAACTGAATGAAATGGTGACGTTTTCCTCGAGAATACCAGAAGGCGCTGGATTTACAGTGCTGGATATGATTGGTCTCCTAAGCCGGAGGTTAGTTAAAGTTTCGCCGAAATGAATAAACAAATAAATAAAGAAATAAATGACTAAAAAAATAAACACAAGAGAATAAACGTAAACTGTTTTCACTTGAAGTTTCCAGATCAGTGGACGTGAACTATACAGACTGACTATATTGTATAAACTCGGTTATTATAAGCATCATCGCCATCGTCTTAACTCGAACTGCTTATATTATCTAAATGATCTGGGTTAAAATATACACTATTCATCAATTACTATACCCCGATATATATTGAATAGGAAAAATGCTCCTATTGACTATTTTCCAATTGCCCATAATACACTCTGCTTACCCCCCAAATTTTGCATAACTTATTGTCTTAAAATGCTCTTGGGAAAATGCCAAACTCCCAGGAGCATTTAAAAACAATGGTTTATGCAGAATTTGGGGAGCAAACAGAGTGTATTATGGGCAATTGGAAAATAGAGAATACATAATATATGGTGGAAAAAAAAAAAAAAAGAAAAGATTAAGCTATATAATAATGCTTGTGTTGAGATTGGTGTTAACCTAGAATTTAAATTTAATATATTACCTTATATATGAGAGGAAAACAATAAATAAGTACTGAATATAAGTCGACAAAAAGGGAATGCCTGATGAATAAATTACTAAGAAACAAACCAAAAATAAAGAAACTAACCCTTCTTTCTCCAGCTTTCCTTTATCGGAGAACCATTGCTCGATACCATCATAAAGAATGCTCACAACAACAGCATCTAAGTAATAATTATATTATTAGCATTTTGCTCATTTACTTCATGAACATATTATATTTTTTATCAAAATGATAAACTGACCAATTAAAAAAGAATAAAGAATCTTCAAGATCACAAGGCGCCTTCTTTGTCAAAGATGGAGTTTTTGTCTAGAGTAGGGTTAGTTTTTAAAAAACAAAATTTATAATGGTTTTCGTATATACATCCGCGCATAGTAATTCAGTGGTCAGAAGTCATGCAAGATGAGGTACGTGTACGTCGATTTATCGAAATTTTCTGAATTTGCTTCAAAAATTCGTTGAATTTTCTGTGTTAATTTATTTGTTTTTGCGCCGTAACTCAATATAAAACCTGGCTACGTAGAAGCTTGAAAAGGTTCTTGAAGATAAACTGAACCTACAGAGACTCCGTGCATTAGACAGGACTGAGTGGAGTCCAATTCGGTCTGTAATCATACTCGTGATTAATAAAATCGGATGACCGCGCAGGGGGAGTGCAATTTGTTTTATCACGAATATGATTACAGACCGAATTGGACGACATGAAGTTACCAATTAATCATAACTTTAACAAACTCTTTTTATTTTTAAATCAAAACACAAGAAATTCCTAGACCTTTTGGTGGCAGCAAGCGCGCTTAATGGTGCGTACTGTCCAATTACTTAGGCATGACGCCTACTGTCCTATTAAGGCTGAAATCAGGGCATTTGATAGCCAATCAGATTTGAATACAAATAAAATTGTTGTTGTTGTTGTTGCTTTTGTTGTTATCATCATGTGGCATTTCGGTCGTTTTAAACTATTAACAACCTCAACAAAGAAGGTATCAGCAATACATCAAAAGCACGAAATCTTATACCTTCTCCTAGGAAAATTGCTGAGGGTATAGAAATGTTTGCGTTATCTTCTCCTCCAGAGAAATTTGTTTCGCTTGAAGAGAAACTGATAACTCCTTTGGTGTTCGTTGATACTCGTTGGATCTTCATCGCTAAGAGAGAATAGTATAACTGACTAAATAAATGCACCCACACACACACACGACGCATTTTATTGCAAACGTAATAAAAAATAAACCAAAGAATTAACTAATGGAATATCCATACCTTAAACAAAGGTAATAAAAGTACTTCTCACCGTGGCGGCGAGCGACTCTCCTTTAGTTAGTAATTTTCTTGCTTTCGACATCAGTATATACGATATATACAATATAAGACTTAATATGTTTATTACCGCAGTCTGCTTTTTTTTCTTGTTAAGCTGAGTGTTATAATGATCATTTAACAGAAAGAAACTCGATTTTTATGTTTGATGGTATATATTTGTTCCTATCTTCCAATTTAAGACTTAGTCGGGGATTAGAGCCAATCAGAAACGGCGAAATATTTTAAATGAATAATAAAATAAGATGCACTCAGAAGGCTTAATTGAACCTCTTCTCTTCTCGTTTAATTCATTACCCACCAAAATATTTTTGGGAAATGATCGCACTTCCATTAGCTTGGTAATGAATCTTGCCGTAGTCAACTGCAAATGACTCCAGTTCTTGAGTAGCTATCAATATGTTAATGCCCTTCTTTGCTGACTGGTTGCTTATTATATAATTGAAAAGTTCACTGGTAATGTTTGCTGCATCCTGTAATTAAGGAGAAGTGATAAATATTGTTAGGTGCTTGTGATACAAAGTGGTCGTAGATATTGTTTATGTGTTCATGATATAAAGCTCGTGATTTTTCCTTGATGACTTTAACTATGCTTTGAGAGACTGTGTGTTGCGGCCCAAAGTCGAAAACTGTTACGAAACTAAGTCGAAAACTCGAACTCCTTACGTAAACCTTATCTTTATTCCGCAAAGGATTCCACGTTCCGAATAGATCCAGAACCAAATAAATCAACAGCCTCAACTGCTGTGTCAAATCCAATTTACAATGAAGTCAGAGTAGTTCCAAACGAATTCAAATCCAATCCCGGAAATCCTACGCACGAGCTGAGTTAGATTTTCTACAACCAAAACATAAATCCACTATGAATTCAGTGTTCAAAAGCTCGAAGTCAACGTCCGAAATACAAGAGGAAAACTTACCGACTGTTTTGAGTTCCATAAGCAAAGCTTACAAAAGACATAACTCACAAAGTATCAGATTTCAAAGCACGTGGTTTCATGGTAGCTACGCAATGCATGCGCAGCGGTAGTAACACTGTGACATACCCTCGGTTCAGTTAAAAGTGAACAATTCATGATCAACGACGGCATTTGTTAAAGTACAGCAAGCATTCAAAGCTTGTGGTCCTTATCGATTGATTTCTGACGGCTTTCACTCCATGGTCTCCATCTTCGTCCCCTTCCAAATTACGATTGGTCCTACTCGTATAAACCATTATTACAGTTATCTTACCCGTATTGAATCCTTCATTGTGACATTCAGAGCTCTCATTTCTGAAAAGTATTGCTGCAACTAAAACGAGGTAAATGTAATTTGAATATCAGACAGTGAGTTTGTTTAGCTTCTGATGTCACCACTTATTATTACGTAAAATTCTTCCGAATGTTAGAACATCACTCAGTGTACATCAGGGGCACCCAACGACAGTTTCCTGTAAAATATCTCTTCGGAGAAGCACAAATTGCCTACAATTTTCTATACCTTGGGGAAAACTAAGAATTTCTAGATGACCGTTCCATTCATGCATGTACAATTTTCGAATCTTATCCAATAAATTCCCTACGATTTTGTGAAGTTTAATTTTTGGCATTTTACCCCCTAGATTAAGCTATTTTTCGCAGAAAAAAGGAAACCTACAATTTTCGGACTCAAAAATGCGATGGAAAGAGGAATCAGAAAAATTCTCTCTTCCTCTCTCACCTAAAATTTTCCAGAAGATAATACTGAAGTCCTGGTAATTACGAAAAGACTCAAATTGCCCTAGGATGACCGAACAGATGTAAGTTTTATAGCGCCGATTAGAATGTATCTCTAAAGGTCTAAAAGTACTCTGGATAGCCTGAAAAGTGTTTTCAATGCATTTAGGGAAAAACCGTCGTTGGGTGCCTCTGGTACATTGGCTAGTGAGTGGATGCGAACATACCATGTCTTCAGGAGTTCGCTTCCCTGGTTGAGATGAGTTTGCTCGAGAAGCTTCTATGATAACAGATGGGATTGTGACTGCTAACGTTTGTGTTATACCAAAACGTCCCGTTGTCATCAGACTCCTTGATAAGAATGGGTTATCAGTAATTAGCGTTCTTAGTGATCCTGTATCATTCTTTCTGCTCGTTGTTATTGCTGTTGTTGTTGTCGATGTTGTTGTTTTTATTGCTGCTTTCATTGTTGTTTTTGTTGTTGCTGTCGCCACTGTGTTCTTTATGGCTGTTGTAGTTGTTGGAGTTACAGTTGAGGTTTGATGCTTTTCTAAATTATCTGACACGGTCTTTGTGGTTACGACCAAAGTAGTAGCTGGTATTTGGGCTGTTACAGTTGCTAGCGAATCTTTAAATGAAGAACTTTCCTTTAATGCAGTTTCTGATGATACAGGAGAGTCTACAACTAAATAATCATAAAACTGGTAGTTTAAACTACATGAATTCTTACCAATGCATGATGATCAGCCTCACTTTGATATTCTGCTCCTTTATCACTGGCAGTTTGTCTTAATACTTTTAATTATTACAAGACAGAAATAAAAATATCGGTCGTTAAACTGGCTAATCAGAACCACTCGTACATACAGGAGCTGAAGGACGTTCAATGTTGGCTTAAACACCCCCCCACCCCCAACTCTAAGGCATATCGCGTTACCACTTTAAAGATGCAGCTGTATCATCTGAGGGATATAATTTATACAAGATTAGTATAACCCATAAAACATTTTCTCGCTACGATAAGTATTAATAACTATCGCTACTTGAAGAAATTAGTGTCTCCACGTAACCACCATGATTTTCATCAAACATGTTCCCTTAGTCCCCTGTCACTCTAGCTGACGTGAATGAATCAATAAATTAAACGGCCCGTCTAGCTAAGAAGTTAAACAGTATAAAGTTATTATTAAACAAACTTGGTATCGTTATACGTTTCCTAGCCCCCCACTCCTCCCCCCCCCCCCCCTTAAGCCAACGTTTTGCCCTAAATGACAAGTGAGTGTTAATGTTGGCTTAGGGGAGGGGTAGGTGGGCAGTTTCCCAGACACGTATAATGATCCCAAATTTGTATCATGCCGCGCCCCATATAAGGTAATGCGGCGCGGATTCCGAAATCCTGAAACTTTTGCTCGTGGAATTCGGAATTCTGGGCTTTGAAAACCGGAATTCAGCTCAGAAATCCGGAATCCCGATAACCACTAGAGCCTGTAACTCAAAGCATAGTTAATTGAGTGGAATGGTTATGAAACCCGTCAGACTCCTTTGTTATATGTTTTTGTGGACCTGAAAGTGCACAACGTTCAAAAGAATTCCTATCATTTTGATTGTATTGACCAATAAAAACGTTGCATTAATTTATTCTCTAACAATTTGCCAACAGAAAACAAAGGATTGTGCACTTTCACGGTGCTTTGAACATAAACTGCAGCACTGTTGTTTTTATCATTGATGTTTGCCGCTTTTCATAACCAGTCTCCTCTAATAACTATGCTCAAAGTTTCAAAGCATGGAATCCAGAATCCATGGCCAAGACTGTCTTGGTTCGTCTTGGATTCATCCTTACATGGGGTGACATGCCACATCTTACTCATCGTTTTAATCCTCTGTAACAGCCCAGGGTAGTAAGTTCGTTCCGTTTCGATCCGTTCCGAATTAGGCCTTTCCCGATTGTGCGCGTAAAATGCTGGAAAGTTGCTCACTGGAATGCCAGAAAGTTGCTAAAAAATTGTCAAAACTCCAAAAAGTAGCTACCTAAACTGCAAAAGTTGCCACCTTATTTTTTTTGATATTTTTATGTAAACTTTAATTAAAAGCTTTATTTTTCATTCTTCGCAATAATTACTAACATTGGCCAAGAAAAAAAAAATACAAAAATGAATTTATAAAAAATTTTAAAAAAAATGAAGTTTTCTATGAAATAGTTGACTTTTTCGTGTTTGATATGTGCTCTAAACCTATATTTTGCTCAAAAGTTGCTCAGAAAGGCAAAATTTGTTCGTGGTTGCTAGAACCGCAAAAAGGTTGCTCCAAACGCCTAAAGTTGCTCAAACGTTGCCGAGGAGAATCGGGAAAGGCCTCTTCCGAATGCCGTTTGCCACATGCAATACCTTGTTCACAAATGTATTTTAACGTCACTTTCGAACATTTTCTTGCTTCCAACTGTGTCCTATACTTTTCAACCACAAAGCAGTACCACCCCTGGTTGCCATGATCGTCGCCCTTAACTATGCTGAGTTTTTGATTGAGACAATCCAAATCAGTTTGGAACCAGCAGTAACCATGGTTTTTGTGCCAGCTAAAACGAAATAAAATGAAAATATATATACATAAATATAATAAAAATAAATATAATAGATATGGATAATAAATTAATTTATTACTCTTATTATTCATTCAAAATATTTCCCCGATTCTGATTAGCTAAAGGCACACGCATAATTCACCATAATTGAAGAATTTTGAGATTAATGAACCGATGACGTCAAAAGTGCAGCTTTCTTGCAGGTTGATGCACCATTAACCGAGAAGACCTGGGGACGAGCTTGAGTTGTTTTGGTTGTGAAAACAAAAAATAGCGAACATCTCACTCGTTTCAAGAGTACAGCAAGAACAGCAAGAAGACAACTCGAAGAGCGACATCTGCTATTTGGAGAATATTTGCGGAGCTGAACAACCCTAAAAGTACGCTATCGAAGATGAACTTAACATCGCGATCAATGGAGGTAAACATGTTTTAGCTATATTTTTAAACTAGGAATTATTTTCGGCTTTCGAATCATATGAAGAATTATGGAGATCTCGGAGGTGTTATCCGTCGAGGCCGTATCTCCATAATTCTTCTTAAGATACTCAGCCTCATTCATTAATTGCTAAATACTTAGTTGGGTGGTTATGAAAGCCGCCAAACATCAAAGTTCAAAACAACGGTGCTTTACACGGGACGAAAAATTGGATTTACTGCACTTTTGACACGAGTCAAAAGTTAAGTCAAATATGGTATTGGCTTTGACTTCACCTTTGACGCGCGTCAAAGATGTCGCCAAATATATAAGCTCTTTGCTTACTCCTTTGACGTCGGTAAAGGTGAAGTCAAATTGTTAACAACTTTGACTTCTCCTTTGACGCGCGTCAAAGATGAAGTCAAATGAATCAATGCTTTGCTATTCCTTTAACCCTTATCAAAGTCGTTGTCAAATATGCTGGTAACTTTGACTTTACCTTTGACGCACGTCAAAGATGAAGTCAAAAGTGTAGTGGCTGTGACCATACCTTTGATACTAGTCAAAAATGAAGTCAAATACGACCGCTACACTTTTACAACACTCTTGAATGGTGCTGAAAGGTGAGAGCAAATATGCAATGAATTACGTCTACAAACACTTATGTCGAAACTGATATTGAGAAAGGAAATTAAAAAGCTGTATTTGAATACTGTTTTAAAGATATTTATACGACAATACCGAACACGGGCAGGTAATCATTGTAATTGCTGTTTTATAATT